AGTAAAGAGACTGCAACTATTGTAAAAAGCTATTTACCAGAGGAAGATAATTCCACCAACGAAGCAAAAGCTACTAAAGAAGAGAATGCGCCCAAAGAAAAGAAGAGGGAGATCATACTCTATGTTCCAAGGGTGTAGGAGCGGTGATTATCAAAGTGGGATGTGGAGATAAGTATGATAGACTATAGCTTTATGTGATCTACTTACTTGGTTCATATATCTTAGTTGAAATTGTTAATGCTACTGAGATTAGTAAGATAATTCCTTCAACACAGCATAAAGAATGCATTTACATCAGGGTGTTTACATTTACATCTAAATTGTTATGCTATTGTAAAGTCATTTACATACAACTAAGAAGAACTAACAGCAAGGCAATCATAATCACTGGTAAAAATTGGTGTATACATATTTGCAAATCCACTCACATGTCTTTACAAATATACAATCCGTAAATCTGTATATATAATTATCCAAGCAGGGTAAGACCATTATGGTATGGAAATAAAAGAATGGAGTTAGCATAACTAAACTTTTCTGAGGGGTTTGCAAGCAGAACAAACATGTACGAGTAACTTGGATGAACCTTTGACTATTTAAAACTTTTTAATTACCTTGTTTCTGAAATAGGGGAATTGTAAACACTTACAGGCCAAAATTGCACATCTGCACGAATTCCATGTCATTATCCACATACTTGCTCCATAGCTCCTTCTATTGATTCATTTTCAATATCAAGCCAAGGCTTCATGCTCCCACTAAAATGCATGACTGCTGCATTAGTAATTCTCACACTAGGATTATAACCAATCCCAAGGACATGTCAGGATTTGTCAAATGTCTTTGTTTTCGAGTAGAATGTAGCCAAGCAAGCTGGAAGGGTTCCTTGCTGTCACATGATATGGTCTTCATTCTAGAAAACATCATGTGAGCAATGAAGTCAAAAGAGGATCCAGCTCAAGACACTTGAGCATTAGCATAGAAATATAAATATTGAAGTAAAATACACAAAGCTCAGAAGGGAGACATAATCATACCAAGTTCTGCCAGTAATACTAATGGTACTGCTCTGTGCATTTCTCACGCCTCCAAGCTAAGCATCCGACCAAATATGTTCATCCCATAAGCCCATGCACACTTGCACAGGCTTTGGGGTTGAAGTCCTCCCGAATTAGATTATGAAAGAAGTTCAAGTACTATGAGTACCCATGGAAGGACCCAAAGTAACTCTCAACAGCACCATTCACCTTACCATCTAGATCAATGTTCCATAAATCAGTCAAATCTTTCTGAACCTCAACATCACCGTCCAAAAGCACAATATGGTGCAGGTCAGGATACATCTGGGGCAAGTAAAATCAGAAATGATTGAGCATCGGCAACTACTTGGTATCTTTAGTAGCATTTAATGCCTGGTTCTCAGAGTCATGAGTTTGTGACTTTGCTGATTCAACCAGTCTAAGCAATGGTCCATAAGATGGGTTCGCTTTGTCTGGTCTTTTTTTTTTTTTTTGGCTGGTCTTGTTGGTGAATGCTTATCCTCAGACACTGAAAGTCTTCCATTGGTTTCACTTCAACATGGGCTCCCCCTGTGCAAAGTCTCATCTTGAACCAAACCTTCATTGCCGCAACAATCTTCCTATCTATCACCACATGGAAAACATGCTTCCATGGCTCTTTTGCATTCTTCACCACTGAATACATAACAACTGATACAGCAATGACAATCTCTGAGTATATCGCATAATGATACAAGGTTGGGTCCTCAAAACTCAGGTTTCGGCTCTTCATCCTGATACTTGGGCAAATCTCTCTACAACAAACCTCAAGCAAGAGAATGCTAACTTTTAGGCACAGATTTCGCAGCAATGTAGCTTGTAATTGCACCGTTCGTTTTTCGCTTTAACAAACTGCTCATAAACATTGTGGTGCAATTTAATTGATTGTCATACGACTCTTTCACTTCAGCAATCAATCATCAACCTTGCAACCTTCACTTCCTTCTCAAATTGCCTCAAGACATCCTCATCCACAGTGCCTTTAGTCTCAAACAAAGCAGCACAGCAAGCTAGTTTAGACAACGTATTTTTAAAAATTCTGGGCTAACTCATCAAAAAACTTTAGCTACCCCGAGTTTCAGCTGTTGTGCATAGGCAGCATAGGCATTAATTAACAAGCATGAAATGATCACGGGCTTGTTTGTAAATCAAGTCCAGCCTAGTTCTCAGCGGATCTAACTTCAAAGCTAAAAATGACCGATGAATAAATGCAATCCAATTGTTGGCAATTCCAGTTTCAGCCACCAAATCATAAGAAAAAATCCAATTCCAATCTCCATAATCTGTACAAATTCCAACAGCCACCAATTTATCTAGCCGCGATAATAAAACATACAGGAGACGAGAGCAAGCTAGGTTCATGTTTATCCTACAAAACTACATACCATTTTCACATCAAAATTCCACTCCCTCCATTAATCCATTCTAAACTATAGGAGAGAAAACAATTAAACAAACCCTAACATTCCCCTTAAACAAATCTATCCAGCAATTTTTTCCAAATATTCCTCAAACACATTCTACTGCAAAATCCCACCCATTAACAGAGAACAAGCTCAGTCTTCATAGTCAGTTCAATGTACACTATTTAAAAGAAAAGAAACTCAATTTCAATTAAATGAATTATTTTCCCTACATAATCACTCACTACTGTCTAAATTAACAGAATCTGATTCTAAAAAAGTAAAAAAAAATTTAAAAAAAAAAACAAAATCCAACAAATTCAATGAGCTAATAAAATCATGTAACAAGCACAAAAACAGCATCATAAATCATAAAATCAATAAGAACAATAAAAAAAGGCAGCAACTTTCAAGAGTAAAGAAAACATACAGGATCTGAAGAAGATGGATAAGAAGATGTGAAGAAGAGTTAAGAGTAGCAAGGAAGAGGAGAGAGAATATGACGGAATATCGGGTATGACATTATGCTTCGTATACCCATCAAACCCGACCCGGACCCACCTCTTCCTCCTCTCTCAGCAACCGCCATTGTTGCACTTCTTCAGAGATCTCAATATACCCTTTTCAATGGATGATTCAAACCCGAATTTCAGAATCTGGGTTTTTGCAATTATCAGAGAAAAGGTGTATTTGAGTGTAAAATGAGAGTGAGAGTGAAGAAGATGATTTTGGGTTTGGGGAATTTTTTGACGGAAATTTTAAAATTATTTTTTCTCAATCGATCATTCGATCTACCATGTCGGTAGTGGTTGTTGTTATTTACTTATTTAGAAGAAATTATAGTGTTTCTCAACATCAATTAGCGGTTTTTGAGTTCCTTTTTTTTGAAGAAAAAAAAAAAGAGTAACGGTTATGAGAAATTAGGATGTTGATACGTTATACGGGTGAAATTTTCAAATTTGGCTTACTCGAATCTAGATGGTCAGACCTTATTTTTTTGGATTTTCGGCTAGACCTAGGGGTGCTAATTGAGTTGAGTAGCTCGCGAGCAACTCGAACTTAACTCGGTCAAAAATTTGACTTCAGTTGGCTGACTCATGTTCAGCTCGACTCAAGACGTTAACGAGCATGAATTTAAAGGCAAGCTCTGACTCGACTCGATAGGCTCGTGAGCAACTTGATAATATATTTTTAGAAATATAAAATTTAAACACGGTTTTCATGATTAAAAAAATTTGACACTTAATAAGAGTTTTATTTATATCATCAAAAAATTAATGAGTAAAGTTCTAATAATAGATAAATAAAAAGAAAACTTATATAAAGTGGGAAAAAACAAAGGCATAGATATAATTTTACATTGACCAAAACCTTAATGAGCATATCGCGAGCTACTAGACGATACGAGTACTAATGTGCTTAGCGAGTAGCGAACACGAGTTGAGCCCATGTAAAAAAAATTCGAGTTGAGTCGAGCACCCTTCAACTCGTGATCGACTCACTCGATTAGCACCCCCTACTTAGGCCGAATATGCATTATCTATGTTTTTTAGTTTACCCCAAATGCTTGAATTGATTTGGCCTATATTCATGACATAATTATAAAAAATAAAAAAAAAAAAAAAATTATTGTCAAAACTCATTATAACGAATATATAATCGTTTTACTCTATGTGAAACTAGTGGAAGTTAATGTTTAAAGGTAGCAAATACGAATATAATCTAGTATAATAAGAATAATAACGTCTAAAATGAATGTTTCAAGCTGGAAAATTAAGGTAATTGGTCACAGCCTTTTATGTTAGCACATAATTTATGGTGCAAAACTGTCTTGAATTGCAGCACACAATACCTGGAAATTTCAGCATAGACATGGAAGGCAATTCCAGTGCATAGTTCATTGTTAAACCACTACACTTACTACTAATCAAGTCAAGAGAATACCATTCAGCATTCACATGCAAACCGAATGCAGGATTAGGGGTCAGATTGAAATGTGAAATAAATACTTGCATATAGCTCAAGTACCTCCAAGTAGTGATTATAAAAGCAGCTACTTGGCAGCACAGTCGTCGTATTGAAGATGCAAGAAATCCATCCAACACCAGATTTTTGTAGATTTCTGAATACACAGTTGAGTAATAAGATTACTCATATCCTGCAAAAATGACAGACCCATCCATAAGATATGTGATAAAGAGATGAGAAAATTCAGAAGCCAAAATCAATTTGCTTCTGCTTACCTTAAAGAGAGTAACCGTGACAAGTACAGACTCCCAACTTAAGGAGATAAGAGGAGAGAACTGGTTCAAAAAAATGTTTTCTCCTCTAGGAAATATTGCATGCATATCTGATTCTAAACAAGTTTTAACTGATAGAATTAGTTAACTCATTCTGCATCCTTGATATAATTTCGGACATAAGAAGGGTGTTTTGCTAATTATATTATGTTGTCCTTGTGTCTTTATCTAAAAGTTCAGTTCAAACTTCAGAATGCTTTTCAACTGATAAATAATTTTGAAAATGGCATATAACTCCATAATATAAAAGGGTAATTATTGAAACAATTTTGGCACTGGCTGATTACATAATTCTATAAGCAGAAAACACAAATAAATGCTAAATTTACAGTATTTTTATATTTTAGTTAAATAATAAAAAAAAAATAAGTGGACAATTCAGCCACTACTAATCATGAAATATCAGCTGGACATTTGTATACAATATTTTCCTGAGTTCCTGCACACATATCTTGCAATTTTCAGCCTCATCTGCCCTCCATTTTAAACGGTTTTGCACAAACAACTCATCTCCAGACCTATCAGTAGCATATGCACTGAGATTAATCTTCTGGAGAGAATCGGTGCATTCAACAAGATAGGCAAGAAAGTCTATGGTATATACATCGGCTCTAAAGCCAGACAACTTGACCTCTTTAAGGTTCTTATGTGGAGACATAGACGGCAATTCTAGTGCTTCCATTTCCTTGAGAGAAGCTCTTGTTGGTGAAAGCTACAAGCCACGCAAAGAAAAAATAAAATCAATTAGGACCAGGAATAGGGGAATTCAGATTGACATGTGAAAGAAATACTTACATGTAGCTCAAGTAGCTCCAAGTATGGGGCTGCACTGATTATAAAAGCCGCTACTTGGCAACATAGTCGTATTGAAGATGAATTTGCATCCAACGCCAGAGTTTTTAGATTGCTAAACACACAAAGTTCCATAAAATTACTCATATCCTGCACAGATGACAGACCCATCCATCATGTAAGCATAAGTAGCCAAAAGATAAGAAAAATCAGTACGCTCAATGAATTTGCTTCTGCTTACCTCAAAAAGAGCAACTGAGACAACCATAGATTCCAGCTTAGGGAGATAAGAGGAGAACTGGTTGAAAATAAAGTTTTTTCCTCTAGGAAATATCGGGTGCATATCTGATTTTAAACCAGTTTCAACTGATAGGCACAGGGATGCAAGCTGTGGAGCATCCTTAATACATAATCTTACCTTATAACCTCCTTCATACATGAATGACACAAGATTTGGGGCCAAAAGTTCCAATTTATTTAAGTCATAACAACCCTGCAGCTTCAGTGATTTCAGCTTTAGGTGAGGAGCTGTATTCTTAGCATTAACTAGCCCACAATTATGCGTCAAATGAAAATTTTCTAGAGAGGAACAATTGTATAAAATTATGTCAAATACTTGGTCTGAAAGGTTTACAGACCTAAGTCGGAGATCTCTTAAAGACACAAAGCTTCTAACATTGGGAGAGGAACGATTTAATAACATCATCTCTTCTCGTGCAAACACATGGAGAGGAACATGATAATTGTCAAAACCTTCATGTCTAGGCCAACCACCGAAGTCGAGTTCAAGCTCAGAAACACGATTTCGAGTTGCAAAGGAAATCCATTCATCAATATGAGACTTAAATCTCTCAGACATTGGTGCACAATCCTGAATTTATGCAACTTTCCACCATTAAATTTCTCCAAAACTTTGTTGACTCTATGCACAAGTACTTCAGTATAATAGGTTTTCTTAAGAAATCCAAAGTCAAGAATAGGGTATGATACCCATACATCAGCCCATCTCTTTGAAAGGATGCTAGTAGTTATTGCTTCCTTCAATGTTAATCTTGCCACAATATTTGACAGGAGTTCATCTGGCAAATCACTAATCCGGTCTTTCTCTTCAATTTTTTTGAATCGCTGAATTTTCCAAACACAATTGAAAAAAAAAAAAACATAAATCATGTTGCAAAGCACAAAAATTTAATCATAATACTATCAGTTTTGTTTGTTGCAAAGAACAAAACTTTAATCATAATACTATCATTTGTTTGTTGCAAAGTATTAAACTATAACCATAATACCATCAATCGTATTGTAATTTGCAAAGCACACAACTGTTACCCTAAATTGGAATACATTGCAAAGCATCAAAATTAACCATAACCCTCGATTTTTTTTGGGGCAACCCTCGATTTTGTTTCTAACAAAGCACAAAAATAAAAACCATAATACGATAAATTAGATTCAAAGCACAAAATTGTGACCATAATACTATCAATTTTGTTGTTAAAAAAACACCAATAAAAGCTAAACTGACCTTTAAATTACGAAGTAGAGGATGACCCAGAACACTTGAGTTGGCCATGCCTTTAGATTTTATACAAACTTCGATCCGGACCAATAAATTAATGCTGAAATCAAAAAGAAATTCCTCGACTTCAAATCTGATGGAAACCCCTATATTTTAGTTTTAATCTTATGTACTTTTGAAGGTTACTTGGAATTTATGTCCATTGAACTTGATTAAATAGCGAAAACATCAGGAAACTAATATAATAACAAGATAAATACTACTTGTACGATTACTAGGAAACCAAACCTATGACTAGTTTATTACGGGGTAAATCATATACTACCTGCGTTAACGGTTATCTGCAACATTTATAAAAAACGGTTGCTAACTATTAATTGCAACAAACTTATTTCTTTCCTAATTTAGTAACATTTTCTGTCAAAATGACCAAAATACCCTCACTTAAAAATTATTAGCACATAATACTACACATATCTACAACCCTAATCGAACTTAATTATCTAAGCTTTTCCTCCAAACAAATCAGATATCTTGGCAGATTTCATCTCTCTCCTCCATCTTCATCTCTCATCTTCTTCCAATTCGATCTTCCAGTTCATCGTCATCATCTCTCATTACCATCATCTTCTCAGTTCATCGTCATCATCATCTCTCATCACCATCATCTTCTCAGTTCATCGTCATCATCATCTCTCATCATCTTCTTTCGGTGGGTTCGTGGGTGCGTGGATGGTGGTTCGTGGGTTCTGGGTGGCGTGTGGTGGTCTAGATCTCCTCCTTCATCATCAAAATCTCACTCCTCCTTCATCTAGGTTTTGTGGGTTTCGAGGGTGGATCTAGGTGTCGGTGATTGTGGGTCTGGGTTTAGGTCTAGGTTTTGTGGTGGTTGATTCTGAGGGTGGTCGGTGGCGTGGTGTTGGGTTGCGTAGGGTAGTGGGTGGCGTGGTGTTCGGTTTCGTGGTGGTGGTGGTTTAATTGTAATTAATTCATCAATTCGTGGTCGTGGTGGTTTAATTGGGGCTTTTGGGGTTTTGGTGGTTGTTGTCAGTGGATTTTGGTGGTTGTTTTCATTGGGTTTTAGTGGGTTTGGTGGTGGTTTCCAGTGGGTGCCTGGAGTTTCAGTGGGTTCGGTGGTGGTGGTGGTGGTTTACGGTAGTTTTCAGTGGGTTTGGTGGTGGTTTCCAGTGGGTGCCTGGGTTTTCAGTGGGTTCGGTGGTGGTGGTGTTTTACGTGGTGGTGGTTTACGGTGGGTTCGGCGGTGGTGGTGGTGATTCTGGGTTCTGGGTTTGGTTGTTTAGTGATTTTAATTAATTGTGGGTTTTTTTTATATTTGGATTAGTGCTTAAGTATATGCCCCTTATATTTCAATAATCATGTTTAAAAACTTTCGCCTAGGCCTCCGCAACCGGTACAATTGTTGCAAATAACCATTAACGGAGGAAGTAACTAGTTTCCTTTTTTTCTTTTTTTTTTAAGGACAATTTCCTAAAATAAATGAACTACCGTAAATACTACGTTGTGCGTATTAAAACGTGAACACGTAAGTCGAGACATTTCTTAATAAGCAAAACGAGGCATTTAAGTAATTTTTTGCCAAGTCTGAGCTCATTTTGTACCCACAAGGGCTGAAATAGGCTCCAAAACGCTTAACGGAAGGTTTTCCAACGCGCAAATCGAGTGGACCTCATTAACGGAATTTGCTGAATAACGGCAAGGTTACCGTATGAAAACAAAATGTATATTAGGATTACAGTGTAGAAAGTGATATATGTTAGAACACAACGTAGAAAAGTGAAATTAACAGGATTACTATATAGAAAAACCCAAAAAAATAAATTTAATAATATTAATAATATTGTGGTCTTGTGGGCGTGGTTTAACAATTTCTACTTTATTATTTTTAAAAAAGGGGACCACAACATGCCTTTTTGAACTCAATCTAACATCATCAAATGTCAGAACTTTATCTAACATTTACTCGTAACTACAAAGTACGAAGTACTGAATACTTGTACTCGTACTTATTGAGTTGGATTCGGGACCACAACATGATCAAATCCTTGAAGTGTCTGTCAATGAGTTGACTCATTGTCATCAACTATCCAAAATTCCTAATACGGAAAGTTTATGACCCTTGGAGGTCACCTTACGAACACAAGAGTAATGAATTATGATGAGTTAATTTGTACTTCGTACAATGTAGTCTACCAGCTGATATGCCTGAAAAGGTTCAAGAAATTAAACTACTCGGTATAAAGTTATGTGTATAACACATGTTATTTTTATTTTAATTATTCCCATAATTGTACATTTGATTTCCATAAAATTAGAGTTGTCAAAAGCTGACCCGAACCGAAAAAATTTACCCGAAGCCGATTATTAACTGACCCGTTTGAACCCGAAAAAATGGTGACCCGAACCCGATATGACCCGACTTGAACCCAACCCTAGACCCGAGTATTTGAGACCCGAACCCGAACATGAACCGACCCGAAGATGACCCGACCTGAATATAACCCGTAAATTATTGACCTGAACCGAACCCGACCCAAACCCGTTTTAACCCGTTAAACCCGAATTTAACCCGACCAGTTACTAACCCGACTCGAATTCAACCCGACCTGTTACTAACCCGACCTATTATTAACTTGACCCAAAATTCAACCCGGTCTGTTACTAACCCAACCCGAAATCAATACGACTTGTTATTGACTCGACCCAAATTCAACTCGTATTGTTCTTAACCCATTTCGAACTCAATCTAACCTGTTATTGACCTGACCCGATTTCAAATCACCTTAAGTTCAATTTAGACACCATATCAATATATAGTTATATAGTTACGTACTCATTTCTAAATTATTTCTACTAAGAATATGATGTTCGCTACGCAAATAAGAAGATTATATTAAATGAAATTAATGACATCTTGTGTGTGTCATTTGTGTAGTTGTGTGCTTGTGCAAACGAGTTACTATGAGAAGTTCAATACATACGACTCCTTACATAGACTAATTATAGCTATTTCCTCATTTCTAAGTGTTAGAATATATTTAGCATATATTCTCTAATTATATTGTATACATCTTTATTATAGTAGATATTGACTAGCTAAATAAAGATATATACAATAATTAGAGAATATATGCTAAATATATTCTAAGTTACTCGTAAAGTCGTAACTTTGTAAGGCTAAAACTACTCTATGTACCCGAACCCGAACATGACCCGAGTTGTAAATGACCCCACCTGATTATACCCCGCAAATTATTGGCTTGAACCGAACCCGATAATGACCCGACCTGATTATAACCTGCAAATTATTGACTTGAGCCGAACCCGACTCGAACCCGAGAATGACCCTAACTCGTTTTAACCCTTAAAAACCCGAATTAAACTCGACCTATTATTTACCCGACCCGAATGTAACCCGACCCAAACCCGATAAGATGTATGACCCGACGTGACCCGACTCAACCATGACCCAACCCGAACCCGACCCGCATAGGTTACGACATTAACCCGAATTGACCTGACCCACGCTAACCCAACCCAAACCCGACCCGTTTACCCGAATTGACAGCTCTGCATAAAATCTATCTACTTTGTATATGATATATGTACGCATTATAGCAATTATTAATTAGTTTTTTGTTTTTGTTGTTCCACCCACTTCACCCTTTGGGCTAATTCGGATTCGGGCTCAGTTCTGAGTGGTTAGGTTTCAGTCCCCTCCCAATTGTTGCTGTGAGGGATCGAACACGCGGTCATCCCTACCAAGTGCAGCCTCAATCACCATTACACCAACAACCAATTAGTACAATTATTAATTAGTTAACACGAATGGGTTTAACTTTTAACCAAATCGAGTACTTTTTTCTATTTAAAAATTAATGACACACACTCCTCTCTCCCCCCTTTTTTTTCTTTGACGTCTACACTTTCTTACTAAACTAGTACTCCTACAGCCATGTAGTGAGGCCAGTGAACACAGAGCGAACTAATTAAACTAGTACTCCCTCCGTCTCACATAGTCACATTATAATTCTTGTTTTCATATTTTAGAGACTCAAAAAATGTTAAGCCTCTTTCTATTTTTGGATAGTACATAAACACCATTATCCTCATTTTTTTAAATTTTATTCATTGAACTTTCTAATTTACCCTTGAATTATCCACTTACATTGTACTTTTTTCCACTCCATCTCTCTAACTTCCTTTCACAGAAGTTGCAAATCAATTACACCACTCTCATACACCTTTTGCATTTGTTCACACCAAATGTCCAATTTACCCCTACTCACATTTGATATTTATATTTTATTATCCTCTTTTAC